CTCACTGAGACCCACCTGCCTCTGCCTCCCTAGTGCTGGTATTTAGGGCATGGGGCATCACACCCAGTTTATTATGCTTTTTAAATGCAAAATTCCTTCCACTATTGTAGTCTAAAGGCTATCCCTAAATTTTTTCCTCTTAAGAGATCCTTCAACAGGAAGTGGTGGGGACCTATTTCATCCTCAGTGAAAGAGAGCCTAAACAGTAAACAGTCACATTTCTGATTTAGTATTTTGAGTTTCTTAGATCAGGAAGCATTTTTTTCCCCCAGCAACTTTGAATGAGACCATACACATGAAGGCCAGTGCATTTTGTCTCATATACACCCTCTCCCTTGAGGCTGGCCTGGGACCTCTAAGAAAGACTTGTAGATATCCGCGTGCCTCTGCTGCCACAGCGCTGAGGTTAAAGGCCCAAACCACCACACCCAGCCTCTGTTTTGTCATCTTGATTTTGTTACAGTTTCTGACTCAATAGCGTCCACATAAGTAAACAATATTTTTGGATAGGGATAGTATCCAGGGCTGGTAAAGGTGCTGGTCTTAGGGCCTGATGACCTGAATTCCATCCCAGGGACCCACTTGTGGGTTCCGCGTGGTAGAAGAACCAACTCCCAAGGATGTCCTCTGACTTCCACAGGCGCTGAGGTGCACACAAGTAAATAAACAAATGAAATGTAATGATAAAAAGGAATGGCTTTTAGAACCAAATATCTGTAAAGTAGAAAATTGAGCCTCCCCCTATCCCCCGTTGATCAGCCTTTGGTGTTGGTTGTTACCAGCAAGTTTTCCTGCTGTGGGCCTAGACTGGTGAGAAAAACTGCTCATAACAGTTGATCTTCTGAATTAAGAAAAAAAAAAAAAAAAAAAAAAAAAAAGAGCGTTCGAGGTTATTATTTTGAACAGAGACCACAGTTAAGATTCAATGATTAAATATTAAATATCTTCTTTTTTTCTTTAGCAAGGAGCCGGAGTTGTGGTTGGTTAGAAACCTCTGGGCTTCAGTAGCCATGAGAGTTTATTATGGGCACTAAGAACGCATTGCTCTCAATTTCAGTAAGGCAACATTAGATGATTAAAATCTTTTTTGTTGTTGTTGTTTTGTTTTACCAGAAGGGACTGAAACAACTTTTTAAGAGCTAGCGCTGAACCTGCCAGAAGCACCATTTACAATTCTGTGTTAGAAAGAATGACAGCTCCTTTGCAAAAGTTGGTAATGGTGTTATCAAACATTTCTCACACCTGTTAAGTTTAAATTATTAGCCCTTTTTTAAAACCAGAGCTAAGACAACCAGAAGGGCATGGAAATAAAATCGCCACTCAAGGGACCCCTTTAATGACACCATACGTCTTGCCCCTCGTCCTACATGCGAATTGGATTTCCTAGGATGTTCTGGGTGGGTGGCCGACATCTTCCGTGCGTGGCAGGGGATTCACGCGGTCCAGATCTGAGTGGATATCAAACGGCTGGGCCAAATGCCAGGTAGCCCTTTACCGATCCATTAAAGAGCAGTGAGAACGGGCGGAGTAACACGAATCCGCTCCGGCGCGGAACGCGGCGGCCCGGCCCAGCGGCACGCTGACGCGCAGGTAGCCCGGAGCTGCGTCCTGCAGACGCCTCCCGCCAGCGAACAGCGCCACCGGCTTCCGCCCGGGGCGTCCCCAGCTTCGCCGGCCTCTGCGGCAGGGCCGCGGAAACCCCGTAGGAGCAGGGCGTCCGAGGAGCGCGGCGCGCGGTCGCGCTGCTGCAATATTCTTCCGCTGATCGCAAAGAGTCCCAGCCCCGCTCCTGACTCATGGATCTCCAGGAACGCTGTAATACCAAGTAATAGTGAAATGTGGATTTTGTCATCGACTCCCTTAGGATCTCATCTGCGGTAACAAACCCGAGGAGCACATTTTTTTGCGGCTTCCGAAGAGAGATAAGGAAATTCCTCCGCGAGAAACGGGTTCCGGCCGCGAGCCTATAAAAAACGGGCGGCGCCGTGCGGCTGTCTTTTCAGTCGGGCGCTGAGTGGGTTTTCGGATCATGTCTGGTGGCTCCGCGGATTACAACAGGTACGGCGTTCTGGGGTGGCCGCTGGCTGGCCTGTAGTGAAGGTCACTAGCTCCCGCAGTTGAGGTGGGTGGCTTGCGGCCACACTGCAAGTATGCGGGGTTTTTCTTAGGGCACACAGAGTCCCTTGTGTTCTTCGAGAAACTTCCATGGTGGTAGGGCTCCAGATGGTGGGAAGACGGGAAGGATAGGAGAACGGAGTGTTAAGGGTGCCCTTCCCTTGGGAGAATTGTGACATCGCGGCGGCTGCCCCTCCCCATGCGGGACATGGCAAGCAGCCGTGGCGCAGTCAGCTTAGGGCAGGGTGACCGGGTCTCGACTTTATTTGCGCCGGTGGCGCGAGCTCGGGTTCCTGGGATTCTGTCGAGGTGGGAGATTGGACGGCCAGGGGGCGATGACACCGGACCGCAAACGGGGCGCCGACGAACCGTTGGCATGGACCCGGCTGGGCCTCCCCGGCGTCAATCACGCCGGCTTGCGCAGAGTTAGGGGCGGAGCTCGGCTCGCGCAGCGCTCGCGAGAGCTGCTTTCCCCAAACGGGAGGGTCTGGTTCTAGGGCAGTAAGTAAAAGGGCTCAATAAATTAAACTTACATTCTCTGCCATTGGGGAAGGAGGATGGTGCTTAGTCGCAATGCCACCTATCATAGGCATTTTCAGTGGAGTACGCGTGCGTGCAGGATGATGGGGTACGGGGCGGAAAGGGCAATCCGTTTGAAGGGTTATTAAGCTTGGAAGGACTAAGTTGTCTAACTGCAATGTTCTTGTCAGCAGAGAACATGGCGGCCCAGAGGGAATGGACCCCGATGGTGTCATCGAGGTAAGAAGTAGTTGTGGATGTTGAAGGCTTGGGAAGGTGAAATTTTTCCGTCTTACTCACAGTTTTATTATTAACTTTTACAGAGCAACTGGAATGAAATTGTTGATAACTTTGATGATATGAATTTAAAGGAGTCTCTTCTTCGAGGCATCTATGCATATGGTTTTGAGAAGCCTTCCGCTATTCAGCAGAGAGCTATTATTCCATGTATTAAAGGTAAAACCCAGTGACAGACGCTTGACTAAGTGTCTGCACACATGTAGACTAAAAAAGGGAAAGTAACCTTTGGGAATGACTAGCACCTGTTTGTATTCCTTAAGTGAAATGATGGCAATCATCTTTCGGGACTGACCTGAAATGAAGAGATACTCTTTGCTGATCACTTACTTGGGCATAACTTATGTTCCAACTGGAATACATGGTGTATAGTAGACTGACGATTTGATGTGGGATCGGTAAATGTGTATCCTACTTTTTTTAGGGTATGATGTGATTGCTCAAGCTCAGTCAGGTACTGGCAAGACAGCCACATTTGCTATTTCCATCCTGCAACAGTTGGAGATTGAGTTCAAGGAGACCCAAGCACTAGTATTGGCCCCCACCAGAGAACTGGCTCAACAGGTATTGATAGTGTAGTTCAAAAAACTGCTTGCGTGTTGCATAGGTTTCAGGTTTCACAACTGAAGAATTTAAAACGTATGAATCGTCTTAGGAGTATCAGAGCCCCTACTTTAGTTATCTATGCATGCAGGAAGTTTTTAATTGAAAGCTAAGCAGGAACTGGGTATTGTAGGTATGGCTTTGTAGGGTTGTACCTCGACAGTTGAGATGAGAACCCATAGGTTTCTCAAAGGGTGGATTATATCTGTACCCGTTTTAAAGCACGGAATCCAGTTGTGCAACATGAAAACTGCAGTGACATGTTAAACATTTGACTGTCTCAGTAGTTTGTGATGCATTTGTTGCATGCTGTTTCAAAGCACTGCTATATTTGCTTTGAAGTAACACGTCCTAATGAAGCTGGAACCCTTATTCAGGTCAAGACAAAGCACAGTGCATTATGGGAGAAAATTAACATTTGTCCTTCCAGAACACTACACTATAGACAGTGAAGACAGTTTTTTACTTGGTTCCGAGTTGGTGTTTAGGCAACAGGGTCCCCAGTTGTGCAAGAGGAGGGAACAGTGAATAGTTAAGAGAATTGTAAGCTTGAAATGGTTAAGTTTGGGCTGTGCATGCATAAAAAGCATTTGGCAGTTGAGATAGTGCAATTATGCCTTGGAGCTTAAGTCTTAAACATTACAGTTCTATAGAATGATAATGAAGATTTTTTGATTTTTTTAGATCCAAAAGGTAATTTTGGCTCTTGGCGATTATATGGGAGCAACTTGCCATGCTTGCATTGGAGGAACAAATGTCCGAAATGAAATGCAGAAGTTACAGGCTGAAGCCCCTCATATTGTTGTTGGTACACCAGGAAGAGTGTTTGATATGCTAAACAGAAGATACCTTTGTAAGTATTTTTAAAGGCTTCTTTTTTTTTTAATCAAAAATGGGTATGAGAACGTTGAGTGCAGTATGATTTCTTTATTAACAGCTCCAAAATGGATCAAAATGTTTGTTTTGGATGAAGCAGATGAAATGCTGAGCCGAGGGTTTAAGGATCAAATCTATGAGATTTTCCAAAAATTAAATACAAGCATTCAGGTAAGGTTTATTTGTACATATTTGGATTTAAGTTTCATGCAGGTACAGTTACAATATAACTGAAGTGTTTTATTGTCGTTCCCCCTGCTGAAAATATCTTGATACTTTACTATCTCTGCCTGGCTCTACCATAGTAAGGCAGAGACGCTTGGTTTCAAACATTTTTTTTCCCCTGTAGTACAGTAGCATTAGCGTAAAGCTAACAAACAGCTAACAAACAACCCATTTTTTTCTCTTAAAGGTTGTGCTGCTTTCTGCCACAATGCCAACTGATGTATTAGAAGTGACCAAAAAATTCATGAGAGATCCAATTCGAATTCTGGTGAAGAAGGAAGAATTGACCCTTGAAGGAATCAAACAATTTTATATTAATGTTGAACGAGAGGTAATTTGTCAAATTCCTAAATAAGTTTTTCCTTACCTTCTTGTATAAGCACTGTGCTAAAATTGCAGAAACTAGGATAATATCTTGGTTACTGTAATAATGCTAGCAGAGTACACACAAGAAGAAAAGTAACTGCACTGGATTCCCAAAGACAGGGGTGGACCTCTTTTTTAATGTCCAGTGTCCTTTGTCTTAAGATTTGGTGCAATAAGTCTTAAGATCCAATGTTTTCAACATGGGGCATTGCAACCTCTTGAGGTTACATCAGATAATTGTACATATCAAAAGATAATTAACAATTCATAAGACGAAGTACTTTGTAACTAAAGGGCCTCAACATTAGGGAAGTTTAGAACCATTGATTAGATAGCATTTTTTAACATCAAAATTTGACATAAATTTCTTTATTAGGAGTGGAAGTTGGACACACTATGTGACTTGTATGAGACATTGACTATCACACAAGCGGTTATTTTTCTCAATACAAGGCGCAAGGTGGACTGGCTCACAGAGAAAATGCATGCCAGGGACTTCACAGTTTCTGCTCTGGTAAGAGTTGGATTTAGTAATGCTAGTTAACTACATTAAGCAGGATTTAACTACAATATGGCTGTTAAGTGCTGTGTTGTCGTTCCCCCTGCTCAAAACAATATTGTTTCTTAACTATACCTGTCTGCTCTGTACCCTGTAGCAGCCAGGGACGCTTGGTCTCATACATGGTAGAAATTAAATGCATACCTTTACTGAGAGATTATTGAATTAAGAGTTGTTAACATTTGCAGCATGGTGACATGGACCAGAAGGAAAGAGATGTCATCATGAGAGAATTCCGATCAGGTTCAAGCCGTGTTCTGATCACTACTGACTTGTTGGTAAGTTTCTGTTTTTAAAGTAATGTACCAAAAGCTAGATTTGTGGGAAAGGTTTTAAAAAAAATAACCTTAACCAACTGGGCTATTTGGCAGAGTAATTAAGACCACACTCCACAGTGGGCTATACCATTTAGTATGGTTCATTACTAACTTGTGGCCTACATTGATTAGGGAACCCTGTTTTGAATTAGGGTATTGAACGAAAAGCCTGATATTTTTTTTCTCCCCCCCCCCCAGGCTCGTGGTATTGATGTGCAACAAGTGTCCTTGGTTATAAACTATGATCTACCTACCAATCGTGAAAATTACATTCACAGGTGAGGAGAAAGCATTTCCAATACTTGTATTGGAGAAGTAAATTCAAACATTTTCCTACAGTGTCTTGTATACAAGGTGGATGGCAATTCAGGGAATAGATCCCAGTAAAAAGGCATAGGTAGTACTTTGTCAAGGTCTTAAGTAAAATTGGATTTGGGAAGATTGGTCAGAACAAAGTGGGAAAACTTGTAATATTAACGTGACCAATGTTGTGTACATACATGCAGATTAGGTTGCTTTAGTTCTTTTTTTGGTCTTAGCTTACGTGTGAGCCTTATTAGTGATTTTTCTTGTGTTCATGTGCTTCTTTCTGGTGATTGATTCTATATAGTTGGGATTTTCTTGGTGTTGCTGGTAGCATTTTCAGTGATTCCCTGGTTTAGTTATAGTGGCTTTTATCCCTAAATAAATTGAATTGTACTTTGTTATATGATGTAAAAAAAGACTTTTTAAAAAATACAGGAGTCGATAGCGGCAGTTGATGACGAGATGGCGCTCAGAAACGGCGTTGACGTAATTTAGGACGTGGAATCATAAGCGAAACAGCACACTGTTTGAATAAAGAGCGAGTCGGTATTTATATTTGATTTTCTTTTGTCATGATTATTTGATATTTTAAGTTGTTCCAGCCCAAGGCATTTTGTTATGTTAGCATTTCTGATAGGGAGCATTAGGTGGTTTGTATTGTCTGGTACTTGGTAGGAAGGTGGACCTGTTTTGGAGGTTATAACACGTTTGAGTAATTTTGAGTATAACGTGTGAAAAGATGAGCAAAAAAGCAGTGATAAGTTTGGGTTGCCATACCAAATTGTTTTCCCACTGGAAAAAAGTAAGTTTTAGAAAATAGTTAACCTTGCAGCATTTGTATTTACAGTTTACAGTTCCAGAAGTGCGTCGAAATGGACTTTATAACTTTTTCTTTTATCCCTGGTGTCTACATCTGTCCCAGGCTGACAACTGCTCCTGGCTGGCCCACTTTGGTATGGGCTTTAATTTCACCCCAAACACAATACTGTCATCTGCTTTATTATAATGCTCAAGGCGCCTATCTCATTTTGCAGCCAGACAAGCCTTGAATTCTTTTGGCACTAACTGCAAAGGAAGATGGTTCCCCCACCTCTGGATATTGGCTTTTTAGCAGCTAGTGCTCCACTTAAAAGCACGAACTATAACCATAAGTAAACAGCAGCTGATGGTTAACAAGTGGATCGTCATATTCAGTAGTTTTAAATAACACTAAAGCAAATTTGTGACTGTTGGTTTCTTTTTCTTACACAGAATTGGCAGAGGGGGTCGATTTGGGAGGAAAGGTGTGGCTATAAACTTTGTTACTGAAGAAGACAAGAGGATTCTTCGTGACATTGAGACTTTCTACAATACTACAGTGGAGGAAATGCCCATGAATGTGGCTGACCTTATTTAATTCCTGGGATGAGATAGTTTGAATGCAGTGCTCGCTGTTGCTGAATAGGCGATCACATCGTGCATTGTGCTTCTTTGAGAATATTTGAATCTTGTCTCAATGCTCATAACGGATCACAAATACAGATTCTGATAGCAAAGCGACTTTAGTCCTGAGCTCTTGTGAGGAAAGGCAATTGCCTTTATCCTCTTTAGAGTTAGACTGTTGGGGTGGGGATAAAAAGATGGGGTCTGTAAAATCTTTTTTTCTTAGAAACTCATTTACTAGTTATGTAGAAATGGTTGTATTAGATGTTCTCTATCATTTAATAATATACTTGTGGACTAAAAGGTATAAGTGCTGTATAAAATCAGCCAATTATGTTAAACTAGCATATTTGCCTTTATTGTGTTTATTAGCCTGATTAGAAAGGCCTTTAAAAGTGATTTTTCTTTTTTTTAGAAAACATTTGAATGCATTTTGTTTGGTATTGTATTTATTCAATAAAGTATTTAATTAGTGCTAAGTATGAACTGGACCCTGTTGCTAAGCCTCAGCAAGCAATCATCCTAGGTAGGGTTAAACCCCCAGCAAAATTGCCATATTGCACATGTCTTAATGAAGTTTGAATGTTAAATAAATTGTATATTCACTTTATGGGTTTTTGTCATTTATTATCCAAAAGGTCATTCATAAGTCAACAATTCTGAGTTAGCTGCTGCATCACAGTTGCACAGAGGCTCATCAATTGCAGGTGTTCATCTGCACCATCTGCTAAACATTTATCCACTTCCTGTAAAGGAAACAACAGCAAAGTTAAATTGGGCACTCATGCAGAGAACCCTGTCTCAGTTACTAATTTTGCTGCACTTACAGCAAGTTTTTCTGTAATAATAGACTTCTGTTTATCAGAAAGTTCTTCATCTTCTACCACCTTATCATGAACTTGATTAACAAGCTGAACAGCTGCATGTCCTTCATCTATTAGGTCCTACAACAGAATAGTTTTAGAACTTTTTTCAAAGTGGTATGTTTTTCCAAGTAACTTCAAAGTTCATTCATTACCTTTACTGCAGCTTCTAGTTTGTCAAAGGAGCCACTTTGACATGCAGTTAGTATTCCATCAATGGTTGTGGGTGGTATTACCTGGAAGAATAGACATTAAAAATCAAAGACAAGGTCTCAAAAATGTAGAGGACTGCCAGGACTTGCTTTGGTAACTTACCCCAGCAATGTCTGTGATCACATCCCCCATGACTTCCTTTCCACCTGTTAGTCGAGTAGCACTTTGAAGAAATGTAATGGCTTTCCGTAGATCTCCTTCTGATATTTTAACAAGATAAGCTATTCCCTGAAAAGAAAACTTGGCTGGCCAGATGGCTCACCAGGTAAGGAAAGTTGCTGTTGGGGGCAAAGTTTTAGCTGGGTTCATGAGGTAGCATCTGGGCAAATGGACAAGATTCTTCCTTTTCACAGGCCACTTAAAGGGTATTCTAGCCTACACTTCCATCATACTAAAAAGTTGTGTGGAATCATTTCAACTGTTGCTCAGTTTGTGTAAATATGCCTGAACATTGAGTTTGTAGCAATAAGCATTAATTTTCAGGACCTCATTACTTATAGCCATAATTGGTACTTACCTCATGGCTAATTTTGACATTTTCCTTCTCAGCAATATCCAGTAATCGCTCCTGCTGAATTTTATCTGACAGAGGCTTGAAACGGAACTTTGAACATCTAGAAGTGAGGGGTTCAATTATTCTGGAAAAGATTGAAAACCAACCATGACTGTGTACTTAAAAGTAGCATAGAATGAGGACTTTGCATGTTCTCATTACAAATCCAAGGTGAAAGATGAGTTATGTTACTTTGATATGATTATTACACACATGTATGTATGTATGTATAGACATATCACTGGGCACACCATGAATACATGTCAACTATTGTCAAATTTTCTGTCAATTTTAAGAAGGCGGCTTAACATGTTTTCAGGCAAATACATACCGACTGACATAGTTGCAGATGAGGCAGAATCTGGTTGTTTTAGACTCTTTTTCCATGGTACGTCTTAAAGCTGCCTGAGCAGCTGAAGTCATAGAATCTGCTTCATCCAGAATTACAATCTTAAAGGGTGGACATGGCTTCCCACTAAATCGGAAACACAGGAGTTGAATACTGCTAAGTATCTTTACTTACAGTTACAGTTAACTATACAGTTAACCCACTTGCATCTTTCAGTACGTGGTAACCCATGCCTTGTAAACTAATTCAGCTGCTTATGGTATGTGTATAATGTGTATGCACACCACAGGTAACTGGAGTTGGTTCTTTTCTCTTTCCACCTTTACAAGGGTTCTGGAGAACAAACTCAGGTGATAAGGCTTGCATGGCAAGTACTTTTCCCCCTGAATTGTCTCTAAACCTACACTGTTGAATTTATAAAATGATACAAAAAGAAATAATGAAATTTAACAAATTTAACATTACTGTTTTTGTGCTTATGGGTTATTAAGAGAAGAGAGTAACTTTAACCTCCTTTCATACTCCTGCAATAGTTCATAGTGGGCATCCTGGACAAATGGATGATTTATGTCTTAGGTCAGAATGACATTGTTTCTCCAAGCTACTCAGAATGGTGTGCAATTTAAACCCAAGTATTTCTGAAATTCTCCACTAGCTGATTACTGACCACGGGGGTAATCATAGGTAACTGTCAGTGCAGACAGTAAGATGGGGCCAGGGGTTTGGGGGGAGACCTACAGTATTCAAGAAATGTAAAGTCATCACTTTATAGTTAAAGCTTAATTTTAGAATCCACTTAAATGAAGCTGTGAATAGGATTAGGAGTCAGTTTAAGATCTCCAGTTCCAATCCCTCACCTACCTACTTGTCTCCTAAGCTTTGACAATTGTGGAGTTTAATGGTGTATATAGCTGGGTTTTTCACTTAAGTGTATTTTCAAGATTAATCCATATAGCAGTGGGTGCCAATACAACTTTTTTTTTAATTGCCAAATAGGCAGATGGGTATTTCATATTTTACTCATTCACAAATGTGGATGTTTTGACTACTAGGGATAATTACATATTTTAGGCATTCACAAATTTTTATCGTCTATGCATGTATACTAGGAATAAAATTGTTGCATGGAGAGATGGCTCCACAGTTAAGAGCTCTTGTTCTTCCAGAGGACTGGAACTGCAGTTACAGTTGTGAGCCACCATGGGTGCTGGGAATTGAACCTGGGGCCTCTGGGAGAGTAATTAATGGTGTTAACCTCTTGAGCCATGCTTCTAGCATTCATGGGTAATTCTTAATCTTAAAAAGAAAAAACAAAACAAAAACTGTTGGCCATCTCACTCAATTAAGCCCAATTTACTTGATGTTTACAGGGTTAGCTGACAAACTGTTTTCTAAGATGCGGTTTTGTCTTTTTTTTTTTTTTTTTTTTTTAAATTTCAGCCATGGTAGCGGTTAAGAAAATGTCTATCTTTGCTCATTTTGTTGTATTTTTAATTAAGTTTTAATTATTATGTATTTGGATATAAGTTCTTTCCTAGATTCATGACTTATAAACATTCCAATTTTATGGTTTTTTTCTGAATATTGATTTGTACTTCCTGTAGCATTTTTCTTTAACAAAGCTGAATACTGTTTATTTTATGACATTCAGGAAACAACTAGAAAATGCTTCTCAGCCTGAAGGCTGCCTGACTGTTACTGATGTAATGTCGCTGCATGGAGGTCTTATTGACCAATGCCTTCCAAGTAACAACAAAGGAAGGGCGGGGCCATGGCCCTACTACCCACCTCAGGGAGGAGAGGCAGAATGAAAGCCTACATTTAAAGCAAATAAAATGAACTGTATTATGGAGAGGGGAAGCAAGTTACTTACTCTGACCGACTTCCTGACACAGTTAACTGAGCAAAATTTTTCACTTTCTCTCGGACTACTTGTATTCCACGTTCATCAGATGCATTTAGCTCAAGAACCCTTAATCGAAAGAGTTCGGGCCTATTTTAAAATAAAAAAACATTATGAAACATACAGCACTAAGTAACCCAGGTGCTAAACTGTTTTAACTCAGGAGTTTAGAACCCACCTGGTGAGCAAGACAAACAGAAGGCACAGTTTACATGGTCTTTCTTTGCAGAGCTATGCACTTAACATTTTGGCTAAAACCTAGAGACCAGGCATGGTAGCCAACAACTTTAATCCCAGCACTTGGGAGGCAATCGCAAGCAGATCTGGGATCTCAGTGAGGTTAGGCCAGCCAGCCTAGTTTACATATTGAGACCCTGTCTTAAAAAAAAAAAAAAAAAAAAAAAAAAACCCAAAACAAAAATATATAACATTTAACTTCTCAGTTTTGTGTAATAAGCATCTACTTTCTACTAAAACCATAGAATATATTCCTTAGGCAATTTACTTATTCGATTACTAGATACCAATTGAGTTTTAAATGTTATCATTTGGCATATTTGAATTATCCCCATACAATAACTTGCTATAAGATAAAGTACTGGATTAAAACACAATGAGGAGGTTGTATGTGACAAGGGGTCAGACTCAGGGCTTATACATACCTCAAGCCTAAATATGAACTTTCTAAAAAGTATTTTTTCCAACATAATATTTCTATTGAATATTTAGTAATTTCACACAAAGTACTTCCTAGGTCCACTCTACCCAAAAGAAGAAAAGATTCACCAAGTACAATCTGTGTTGCCCATATATTCACTGAAGCATGGCCAAACTCCCAGTGGCCAGTTCCTTAAAGAAAACTATACCCCCCCCACCTCCCCACCCCGCCGAAGCCATCAATTGTGAGGAGCTATCTTGAATGTCTTCCTGAGTAGACTGTTTTTTGTTTTTTGGAGTGGGGGGGGGGTTGAGGGAGAGGCTGTTACAGAAGCGTTCAGTGTCTCTCACTGCCAACTGTGACACTTCAGTCATTGATACGGCAAAACAAGCTTTTTTGTCCATAAAAGATAGATTCCCTTACCTAGGCTAGATTAGAATAATGCCCAGGGTGGCTCAAACTTACAATTCTCTTATTTCCACTTTTTAGTACAGGATTTATAGGCATGCACCATCACACCTGGCATATAAAACTTTTGTTGTTGTCAGAGGCAGGATAGCTCTGGCTGTCCTGGAACTCTCATCATAGACTAAGTCGGCTTTGAACTAAAAGAGATCTGCCTCCTTCTGCTTCCAGAGTGCTGGGATCAAAGGCGTGTGCCACCAATAAACACCTTTTGAATAGATATTTAAAGTAACATATGCCAGTAGAGACATTTGAGAAAAATAAAATTATTCCCCAGAAAAACCACTGTTTCAAAATTCTCCAGTATTTTCTCTACACAGACAACTGTGTACATGTACTTTTTCTTTTTGGAGACAGGATCTTGCTGTGATGTCCAAACTGGCCTCAAATTTGAGATTATTTTGCTGGGATTTTAGGAGGTTCTATCATGCTATGGGTGTGTGGGGTGGGGGTGGGAGTGTGGGCCAGAGGGTGTATTAGATCTCCGAGAGCTGATAGGAACACCTGATATGGATGTTGGTATCTGAACTCTGGCCCTTTGCTACCTTTAAAAGCCGAGCTATCTCTCAAGCCAATGGTTTAGATTTTTCTTTATTTTCCCTAGTTAGTATGAGATCCTAAATATTCTATGGGTATAAACATTTAGCAGGCTCAGTGCATGTACTTTTTCTTAAGTCACATGTACAACTAAGTATGGCATTTACAAGTAAATTCTTTAAGACCATTACTAACATTATTTTGTAAACTGGTCTTGTCATGTAGCTCAAGTTGGTCTTGGACTCATGAACCTCCTGCCCTAGCCTCTTGAGTGTTACAAGTATGCACAATGATTGGCTATGAACATATTTAAGCATGTTTCTATGAGTATATGCCACCTGTATTAGGGTATTCTCAGAAGTAAGAAAAAGGTGTCTGATCCCCTGGAGCTGGAACCATTGTGACTCACTAAACATGGGTGCTGGGAACTAAACTCTGGGCCTCTGGAAGATCAGAAAGGTCTCCTAAACCTGGTGTATAGTCTTTAAAAAGAAAATGAACATCTGTAGTGGTTTGAGTAAGAATGGCTCCCAAAGCCTCAACTATTTGAAGGCTTAGTCATCAGAATGGCATTATTACAAAAACAATTAGGAGTGGCCTTAGAGGAAGTGTGTCATTGGGGTAGGCTCTGAGGTTTCAAAAGTCCATGCCAAGCCTACGTTCTATCTCTGCCTATAGGTCAGGATGTATTTCTCAGCTACTTCTCCAGCATCAAGCCTGCCTGTGCACCACCATGCTTTCCAACGTGATGATAATGTACTAAGCCTCTGAAAAACTGTAAGCAAGCCCCAATGAAATGCTTTCTTTTATAATTGTTCTCTTGGTCATGGTGTTGGTGTCTCTTCACATCAATAGAATAGTGACTTAAGACATCAAACAATTTCAACTTACCCAAAGAGTTCTCTAGCTGCTGCCAAAATTGTGGATGTTTTGCCAGTTCCAGGTGGTCCATAGAATAAGAGATTAGGAAGCTGTAGAAATTAAATTTTAATTTTTGTAGATTATATTCTATCATAAATAGATGAAACTGACAATATCCAATTGTCTGTGGAATGGTGTAATGACTTTCCTAATAGACTACATTATATGTAAAGTTTTTAATATAAGTGGTATCATAGTATTTAAAGCTCTAAATATTGGGGCTGGAGAGACGGCTCAGAAGCTTCCAGAGGTCCTGAGTTCAATTCCCAGCAACTACATGGTGGTTACAATCATTTATGATGAGATCTGGCGCCCTCTTCTCATATGCAGGCATACACATAGGCAGAACACCATATATAAAATAAATAAATCTATAAAGCATCTAAATATGCCTTTGAATTTGCAATGTAATTGTAAATGACCTTGAATTCCTGACCTTCCTGCCTCCACCTAGAATTTCAGGCCATTATACCCTTATATTACATTAAGTTCTAATTCAGGTAGGAGAATTCTGAAGATGAGCAAGAAGATGGTAGTTTGACTTTTGCCAAACGTTGCCTTTCTTGTTCATTCATGCTTTACCCAAATTAGATGTCACTCTGAGTGCTACTTAAAAGCCTTCATTGGCTTCATATTCTACTTGGAAAACAGTAACAAAACCTCAAGCACTTACAGTGACTTCCAATAAGAACTTTCTCTCAATGTATGTAATTCTCAATCTGGACTCTGACTCCATTCTTCTTGCCAACATTCACCTAAAGTGGCTCTGCTCTTACTCACTATACTTGCTGGACTTTTAAAAATTTGTATTTATTATATTAAGTTATATTTAACAGTTGAATTTAATTCAAGGCCAGTTTAGTCCACAGAGTGAGTTCCAGGACAGTCAGGGTTACCAAACCCTGCCTCAAAAAAGAAGAAAAAAGAAAAAGAAAAAACTTGGGACTGGAGACATCTCAGCAGTTAAGAGCATCCATAAGGCAGCTAACAACTGTAACTTCAAGATCTGACACCCTCACTTAGACATATATGCAGGCAAAACACCAATGTATAGAAAAATAAATTATTAAAAAAAGACTACTACCTTAAGATTAACACATAGTTTAGATAAAGCTATGAGACCCTATTTTTCAAATAAAAATCAAAATACCCCATGTGATGATTAATATTAACAGGTTTTGGGTTCATAAACTTCTCAGCATGTCCTTGAGGAATACCTCTAGAAATGTTTACTCAGGGTCAGCCCAGAAGACACACAGATCCATGCAATAGCAGGCCAGGCTACATGTTGAACTGGAAGAAGTTAAAATCATTATCTACATGGTACTAGTTTTACAGACATGACTGATGGAAAATAAAGTTACAGTGCTTATGACAAGGTTCAGAAAGGCTGCTGAGGTCACTGTATGAAGCTATCCATGAAAGTGGGGCAGAAGGTGCAGTAGAGACCCTGGATTTGGGAGACATAAGATCATGGGATGTCCAAGACAGAAAGTATGTGTGCTGTAGGTGGCAGAGCTGGAGGGATGGGGCTACCTAAGTCCTTTGTTCTAGAGTCTCACATGTAAGAATGGATAAATGTCCTGCCAAGTTTAGGATATGCTTTGGTCTACTCTTCCTTTGCTATGCTCCCTTCTTTCCTTTTGGGATAGGGATTTCACCCTACAATTGTCCATTAAAATTATGTAATTGGGCTTGAATTGCAAGGGACTCACAGCTTAGACACAGAGTTTTTGATGAGTCTCTGTTCTTATGCTTTTAAAATCTTAGAACTGCTGAAGACTGAAAAATTTTGAAACTGTTTTGAATACATTTTACATTATGAGCCAGCCATTAGCCTATGGGGATGAGGGTTAGAATATCATGGCTTAAAAGTTGTATGTTTGGTTGTCAAGTTGACAAGGGAGAGACTTGGGATGTAGGACTGATTGCATGTTCTAGATTCTCTGAGGAGCACCAAGGAGTAAGGGAATAAGTACTAGCATTCAGCTCTGCTTCCTGATCATAAATGCAGTGTGAGCAGTCAACTCAAGTCCTACGCCTTCACTTCCTGTACTGTGAGACAGCATAAATCCTAAACTGTGTCAAGTATGGTGTCACAGCAATGTGAAAATTAATTAGCATACCCTCCCAGGTTCATAATTTTAAGTATGTACATTGCTCTAATTGGAATGATTAACCCAGGTAACTACAACACATCTCAATTCTTTAAGTAAATTTATTTTAAAATATTTTAAATTTACATTTATTACTTCTATATTGAATAATGGATTTATGTGTAGTGTGTATCATGTTTTACACCCACTACCCTTTCGTGTTTTTCCTGTGTTTAGAGACAGGGTTTCTTCTCTATGTAGCCCTGGCTGTTCTGGAACTCACTCTGTAGAACAGGCTGGTCTTGAATTCAGAGATCTGCCTGCACTTGCCCCCTTCCCCCTAAGTGCTAGGATTAAAGTGTGCCACCACTGCCTGGCTACCTTACCTTAATATTACTCATTTTTATAGTATATAAACTGATCTCAGAAAACAAAACAAAAACAACAGCAAACAAACAAAAAAAACTATTCTAGTTCAATTTTAAAATATTTGAAAGAGAGAACTTTAACTTTTTTTTTTTTTTTTTTTTAAGTCAGGGTTTCTATGTGTAGCCCTGGCTGTCCTGGACTCTTGCTCAGTAGCAGGCTGGCCTCAAACTCAGAGATCTGCCTGCCTCTGCCTCCCAAGTGCTGGGATTAAAGGCATGTGTCACCACTCCCCGGCAGGACTTTAATTCTTTAGAGTTAAAAAAAAAAAAAAAAAAAAAAAAAAACAAAAACAAACAAACAAAAACCACTTTATAAATTTAGTCAGAATTGAATTGTAAAATATTAAACAAGATCTTTTCCTTTTTTTGCAGCACTGGAGATCAAACCTATGGCCTCTGTGCATGCTATTTGAAAACCTACCAGTAAACATCCCTACCCTTTTCTTTACATTTTGAGGCAGGACTGGCTAAGTTGGCCTAACTGTCTTTGAATTTATAATCCTGCAGCTTCAACACTCTTGAGTAACTAAAATTATGCCTGCACTTGCAGGTCCAGCTAAATGAGAAGAGGTTAACAAATATGTTATACTAGGTGACAGTCTTACATTTGTCTAGAAATTGTAATAATTAGATTTTGCAATCTGTTACTAACCAATTAACATTGTATACTATTATAGCATTAAAAGTCAAATGGGTATTTGGATCAAATCAAAATGAATAATGCCAAGGATTTTAAAGTTTTGTAACTAGTTTTTTTTTTTTTTTTTCCCCTCAATGTGAAATGCAGGCTGAGCACCCCTAATTGGAAATACTAAATCCAAAATATTTTGAACATTAGTGTGATGCCACAAGTTCATGGTTACTTTGAACACATTTTTTCCAATGTACTTTAAGGAAATGGTAAACGTACCAGTGAGTACTGACATGTGAATGTAGAAAATGATAACTTACTGGTAGTACCCAAATTAAGAATCAGTGATGAGCCAGGTATGGTGGCACATGTCTTTAATTTCAGGACTTGAGACAGAGGCAGGGGGAATCTCTTGAGTTTGAGGCCAGGCTGGTCTATGTACTGAGTTCCAGGATAGTCAGAGCTACATAGAGACTCTAACAAAAGGCAAACAAACAAATAAAAGTGGGGGAAAAAAAGTCAGCAATGATGAGATACCAATCCACAACTGCCAACATGGATAGGTAAGACATTTACAACTTTGCTTTTGATTGTATGAAAGAAAACCTTAACTCATGAAATGGCACAGTATAAAATTCAGGGCATGGGTATAGGAATGAAACATAAATGAATTCTGTGTTGCCTTGGGGGATCTCATCTCAAATATACTTAATTTTGATTTATGTAAATGTTATGGCTTGGGTTTTAAGTGTTTCCCAAAAGGCCAGTATACTAGGGCTTTGTCATCAGCCTGTGGTAGGAATGAGTAACGAAACTTCTGAACTGTAAGCTAAAACAAAATTCTCTTTTAAGTTGTTCACATCACATCTTTTGTTAAAAAGATACAAAGTTGCCTAATGTAGCAAATATTTCAAAATCTAAAAAACAAACAAAAACCAAAACCATAATCTAAATCACTCTGGAAAAGTGATACTCCTCAACCTGAACTGTAACTTCAGATATAAGTCTCTAAAGGCAGCCAGGTTTAAGAGACAGAATTTCAGAATAAAGCAAAAACTACTTCCATGCTCACCTTGGATTCCTTTTCTGTACTGAGCTCATAAGGCATGGGGACACTTTTTCATATACAATTTAAAGCTGCTTACTCAGCTAAGTGTCCTGGCACATGCCTGCAATCACATCTTTTGGGAGGCAGAAACAGGAGGATGTGAAACATGAGTTTATCCTCTGCTACTAGCTAAGGCTAGCTTAGAGTACATTAAACCCAGTCTCAAAAACTAAACCAAACAAATCTGCTAACTCTTTAAATGAGCTTATGTTGACCCTAATAATTTAAAAAACAAGTTACCAAAGATACTTTGTTCTATACATGGCAGAAAATGTAGTGCTCTAAGAATTAAATGCTTTTTTTTTTTTAAAAAAAAATAAAACTAGGTTAAAAAAATATGTATCCGTACACACACACGTTTTAGACAGGGTCTCACTGTGGCTGGCCTGGGATTCCTATGTAGACTAGAGTGGCTGGCCTATGCCTCTGGAGTGTTGGAATTAAAGGCACAGGCCACCACACCCAGCCAACTATATCTATTTTAAAAATCAACTCTTTTCTATACACTGTGTTTGTAATTACATGTTACATGATTATATCTACTTGATTTACTTATTTAGTTGATTTCCTCTCCAAAATAAAAGCTCATGGAGAAAGGGCGCTACTCTATTCAGTGATCTTTTTTGTTGTTGTTTTTCTAAGTAGAGTTTTTCAGTGTAGCCCTGGCTGTCTTGGAAATCACTCTGTAGACTAGGCTGGTCTTGAACTCAGAGATGTGCCTGCCTCTGTCTTCTGAGTGTTGGGACTAAAGGCATGCACTCCCCATCCCTACTCAGTGGTCTTTTCTTAAATACTACATAATGTCACATAGAAGACGATTATTGTTTTATAAATAGCATCAAAGACATGGCATATACTTAAGGTTATATTTATAAGAGGTTAAAATAAAGGAAGAGGTAAATAAGCCCTAACTTCCCAATGTCATCAAACAACATTTACTTACATCAGCTCCTTCTAAAGATTTTTTAAGTACTGCAACCACTTCTTCCTGGAAAGCAACTTCATCCACACACTTTGGACGACTGAAAGATGGAGGGAAAGGAGGTTACTTAGCATATATGGAGCTTTTGTTCCTTCTGCTAAAATACCAATAATAGCACTTTCATAATAGTTATGAACTTGGAAGTAGGCAAAATCTTCATCTGTATTTACCTTAAGCAAATACATACTACTGGAATGAAACTATTTTTGCTTCTACCTGTACTGGACACATAAAATATTAAGTAGAGGAATTTAAAGTGAATTGGGTGTGCATTCTATATGGATACCTTGCCCAGCCTAGACACAGGGGTGTGGGGGTGGAGAAGTGCCTTGGTCCTACCTCAACTAGATGATGGGAATGACTTAATAGACTTCCTAGGGGAGGCCTTACCCTCTCCGTGGAGCAGACAGGAGGCGGAGGGCGTGGAGAGTGGGAGGAAAGGGGAACTGGAATTGGTATGTAAAAAATAAATTAATTAAAAAAAAAAAAAGTGAACAGGGTGTGGAAGCTCACCTCTTTAATCCTAGCAAGGGGAGACAAGGTAGAGGATTTCTGAATTTGAAGTCTACATAGGGTATTCCAGGACAGTGGGGGTGGGGTAGCACTTGTCTGTCTTACAAAATATATCTAACTGGCAACTACTTAGCTTAAATAAATAAAGTCACACACATACACCTCAGCTAATACATTAAATGGCTAGAACCACTTTTTCTAAAACCGAACTACACCAAAATAAGAGACCTTTTGTTTTGTTTGAGATGGATTTTCTCTGTTAGTTCTGGCTATCCTGGATGGAACTTAACTGCAGATCAGGGTAGCCTTGACCTCAGAGATCTGCCTGCCTCTGACTCCTGAGTACTGGAATTAAAGGTGTGCACCACCACTCCCAGCTATTAACTCTTATTGTGAATCATTTATTAATAATTTTTATATTTTGAGACAATTCTTATTATGTAGCTCTGGCTAGCTTGGAATCCGCTAACTGGACCACAGATAGCCACCTGCTTCTGCCTTTCCAATGTTCTGACTAAAGGTGTTAAACCACAGAATCCAGCCATTAGTTAGTAATTACTATGACAAAGTAGTTCTCCCAAATACTATGACTGAGGTTTCTGCTTAGTAAATTAGGCCCTTGTTTGGCTTGTAAATAGCTTGAAAACCCTCAGCAATCACAGCTAATGGTTACAATTATGTCTAGTATCACTTAGCTGATGATAATTTAGTGCTACTTCAAACCTTTTTTTAATACTAAAAAACAAACAAAACCCCAACAATTTCTAATATACAATAATAAAAGAGGGTCAGAATCTAGATTTCAGTAGGACTACTGTTTACAACCAGCTCACAGAAACATAGCATATAAATACCACAAATCTCCATTACATTTTTTTAAAAAAAAAAAAGTGGACTAGAACTGATTAGGAAGGGAACTTATTAGTTTTTTTTTCAACAAAAGCATGGGTAATTCTTACTATTTTTCCACCCAAGGCACTGGCTTGACTTTCTTGGTTTCCCCACTGGTTCCAGCAGTGGCGGGTATTACCCGATCCTTGGTGAATTGTGGTTTAGTACTGACAGATGTGCCTTTTAGAAATGCCTGCATGATTTCTTCTCCTGGGTGTATGACAAAAGAAAAAGGAAAGAAACAAATAATTATGCGCAAGTTCTCATCAAAAGGGCACATAACCTTGTGCAAAGGCATTCAACATTTGCTTAATAAAGTCTAAAGTCACCTCAGGACTTAGGATGCTACGAATGCACTCGGGTCATAGGGTCACAAGAGGGAAGGAATTGTGAGGCAAATCTAAGCAGATTACCAATATCATCTCTTCTTGGGCCTTGAGTGCAATTTTACTGGCAAAGTCAATGGTGGTTTTCAGAGACTTGGGAACAGGGAGAGGAAGGTGGGACCTTGCTATAGACAAAGCCACTACTGTTCTGATAAACTCAAAGTAAGAAATTGGAATGAGAAAGATTTGTACAACCTACTAATACATGGGCACATTTACAGGCTATTTTTAGGGGCTTCGAAACCATCTGCCCTCCCTGATCACCGGCTTCTCTGGTAACTCCCAGCATCGATGGCAATGTGCTTGTTTCTCTCTTCCCTACTGCTGTACAGTCTGGCTTCACTACATTCGGCTTTACCAAATGAAATGTGAAGACGGACTAAAGATGACTCCATTAAGTAACGTAGTTTCTAAGCTTGGCACACAGGTTAATTAATTCTCGAGAAAACACAGTACGCGGTCACTGCTCTCAGGCCAGCTTCTTGTCCCCTCACGGGATAGCGGCCTCCCGCCGCGGGCTGCCGACGACAATGCCGCCCGAGCCGCGTTTTGCAGTGACCACCGCGAGGTGGAGGACTCAGCCGGGTCCCCGCCAGCCCGGACCCAGGCCGAGAACACCCAGAACGGACACTTACAGCCACCACCGTCCCTCAGGCGCCGCGGTTCCCGCCACAGGACGGCGGCGAAAGGCACGGCGGGAACGCGCAGCACGTCACGTCACTTCCGGTGCGCGGGGCAGGGTGATGCGCGCCTTTTTGATTAGGCCTGCAAAGGTGTAGCTGCCGGCTCCGGCTGAGGAGCTCCACTGAGGTAACCCCGTGAGGACCCCACGGCCAGACTCCGGCGCTTTCCAATCACTGCGGATTGCGGCGGGGGGGTGACGGGACCGCGCGGGCCGGCATGCTCCGCGGGGAAGGGCTCGAAGTTCTCGGTCTGCTTTAAGCAAGGGACTTGGGTTTGCAGCCATCTTCACTCCAAAGATCGGGCCGGGATCTTCACTGGAAGGGGGCACCCGGACCTGAGTGGGCACAGGGCAGACTGTTCAGAAACGCAGCGCCTGCAGCTGGAGAGATGGGTCTGCGGTTAAGAGCATTAACTGCTCTTGCGGATGACCTGGGTTAAATACTCAGCACCCATCTGGTGGCTCACTGGCAACTCCAGTTCAGGGGATCCAACACCCCCTTCGGGTTTCCGCAGACACTAGAGGTATGTGGTGCACATACATGCACTCAAGCAAAATACACGCAAAACCAAGGAAAGGAGATACTGAAAAAAAGTTCCCTTTCAGTACTAGACAGATGGCTCAGCGGTTAAGAGCACTGGTTGCTCCTCCAGAAGACCTGGGATTTAATTCCCAGCACACATGTGGCAGCTCACAACTGTGTAACTCCAGTTCCAGGGGATCTGACACCCTCACACGGAGTGCATATAGGCAAAACACCAGTGCACATTAAATAAATAAATCTTTAAAAAGTTCCCTTTTCTTGGCCTTGAAGGCAGGTGTATTTACCTAGTGAGCAGACAGACACAGGAGCCTAGAGCAGGTGTCTTTTACTGCCTTTAAGTAAAGTCAGCTCTTTGCAGGGAGGGAGGACCATCTATTTAAGCTATGGACACCTTGTGATTCTTGAGAACCACTCAAAAATCTAGTGGGAGAGATGGCTTATCAGTTAAGAGCATTCGATGCTCTTCAGAGGACCAGAGTTTGCTTCTCAGCACCCACCTGAAAAAAGAGTCTGGGAGGGCCAAACAAAAGAAGGGAATCTGAAGTGAATATTTTTGTAGCATGTGCTAACATCGGTTGGACAACATGTTCTGCTGAGGATTTCCTAGTCCAAATGAGCCTTTCGCTTCCTAGCCAGCCTCTGGTCTTAGATGCCCTCACATTAGCACAGTAAGTCCACAGACCAGCGTTGTTAGCAGAGATAGTTGCCACCCACCGATCCAACAGTAAGGACTGCTCTAGTTATTGCATTGCTGGGAGTCATGCCGTCCACAGGAACTGCAGATACTCACCCTTCCTGGGGGTGCCATTCCTCAACTAGCTCAACTGATCTTTGCCCCACAGTGGAAGAAATGTCATTGTTTCCACCAGAAGTGTTTCTAGATTTATCTAATCACACCCATTTTCTAGAACCAGAGTTCTCAAAGACCAGATTGCATCTGAAGCACATGAGGGGTTTGTAAGAAGTACATTTTCAGTCCTTGACCTACAGGGTCACAATCTCTGGTGTCTGGGAATATGTATTTGTCATAGAAGGGTTTTGGTTAGTGGACATTATGTTTTTGTCTCCTCTAAAACCCAGGTGGGAAACCCAATGTAACCAACCCCCAATGTTGTCCTCAGTAATTCCAGTATTCACAGTGTAATCAAAGAGGTTGGTTGTTCTGTTTAGTCTCCCTTCCCCGTTGAGGCAGCTCAGAGGAAGTTCCTAGATGGTGGCACCTTAAGTTGAAATTTCCCAGGTACAAGAACTAAGCAACCATTAAAATTCTTTATAAATTGCCTAGCACAAGACAAAGTTGCTTTTCATTACACTATTTGATATCCTTCCAGAAAATAGCCCAGTTACTGTGAATGGGGATGAGAATACAAATTATATAGGAATATCCATATTGAAAAAACTCCTTGTTGTTCACCATGCTAAAGTTGGCAGAACCTGGGAGAGTGGAGCCTCAAAATAAGCCAGACTAATGTCTCACATAATAACTAACTTTATTCAGAGTGTCAGACAATTTGTACTCCAAGGGTTAAGAAGAGTCACACGAGTAAAGTGTACAATCACGAGGACAAGCCACACGTGGCAAAACCATTTTTCCATAGAGATACATAAACAAATAACAGCTGTAATGTAATCTGAAGTAAACTCACGTCTATCCTCTACACTTGGGAAGGGCACACAAACACATTCCAAAAACAAACCTGTGTTTTGAAGAAACCGAGGTTACAAAACTCTTGTTTTGGAGTTTTCTCACAAGCACTCATTCTTGGACTGTGCTTTGACACCATCTTAGTAGGAAAAATCCATTGCTTATGAACAAATACAAAAGTGTAGCTGATTTGTGGGAGGAGGTCAAGCCCTCAGTCAGCACCAGGGTAATAAAGAGAAAGCCTCAGAGTATAGGGGAAGATACTCATCTGAGGGTACCTAGGCTTTTCTATCTGAGGGTAAATAAGGAAACAACACGGTTTCTGCTGGTAGCCTAAGAAAAAAAGGAATAAGCACACACTTTCCTGATGGTGACCTTCTCCTTTACTTCAACGTAAATAATCTCTCTTGACAGTCAAATCTCTCTTAATACATCTCTCTCCTGCCCAGTTACTTATTTTTATATTCAGCTACAAATTTCCACACAGTCATAGTTATACATCTCATTTGCATAGCTCATTCACAGTACAATGCTTCAGACGGTTACTAGGCAGAGCTCCTCTACAGCTCTGTCACACAGCTTTCTGTCACACTCACACATACTTTTTCTACCACATTCATTCCTTACTCTCTCTAATTTATTTCCTCACACTTCTCTCTCCCATAGCAGCCTTCTGCAAATCTCTGCCTTTGCTGCCCTTTCTTTCCTGCTCCTTCACTGACCTTGCCAGCCCCCCTCCCTCTCTCTTGCCTCTCCTCTGTTCTCACTCTCTGCCTTCTGCCAGACTCTGGACAATTATATGTTAGTTTTCAGGACCCAACCCATACTCATAACACATGTTAAGTCATATAGTTTCTCTCAGGCTAGGAATGTCACAATGACTGGTCAGTGAGGTGGTGGCCATGCATGTAGCTCTAATTTGGTGAGGGATTCCAGACAGTAAACAGTTGACTGAACCTTGAGATTGAGGAGTATGTGCAGACTCAAGTTGCCTCAAACTCTGACCTTGAATTAGCAAAAGAACACCTGAGAAAATAACCCTGTGAATTTGTCTCCGGGGCAACCAGCTTGCTTTGAATCTGCCCTGAAGTCTAAAGTTAGTTTATCTGTGTGAAAGGCTCTTTGTGACTGAGAATCCTATGGCAGTCTGAGCAATGTAAAATAGCATAGTGTTATTTCTGTTCATCAAAATTATACCCCCTAAGCATCATCTTCCTGAGTATCCACAGCTACATGTGTGCCCAAGAAGTATAAAACACCACCAAAGGTCTGGGGGGGAAACCCCTACAGCTGTTCTTATTAGGGTGGCATGACAGTGGTACTTGAGAAAGTTACAGGAACAACCAGTCATCCAGTCAATAACCTCACAACTTTGCCAAGTGGGGGGGGGGGTCCCCAGCAATGTCTGATGAGTCCATGTTGCCTAGTAGGATTCTCCAACAATGTCTAGTGGGTCAACTTGTTAAATACTAGTTGTCACTGCTGTACAGTTCCAAGACCTTCTGAACAAAACCACAATTACAAAGGGCCTATGTGAGTCTGGCTTTATTCTCTAGGCCAGTGGTTTTCAACCTTCCTAATGCTGTGACCCTTTAATACAGTTCTTCATGTTGTGATCCCCAACCATAAAGTTATTTCGTTACTACTTCATGACTATAATTTTACTACTATTATGAATCATAATGTAAATATCTGCTATGCAGGATTTCTTATATTGACCCCAAGGGGATTGAGACATACAGGTTGAGAACCACCACTCTAGGCTTTTATGGGAATGAGAAGCACTGAAGGTCAATTATGGAAAAAAAAATTAACACACATAAAACATTAGACCAAAAAGATGGGCCAGCCCCTTCCTTTTTCAGACCTGTCTGTCTGTCTGTCCTCTAAAGTCCATGTGTGCACCACGGCACACGCACCCCTCCAACATCAATCATGTGCTTGTATGCACACATACATCTATCACTCTATGTGTCTATCTAAATTAATTATTTCTTAATAGGGACAGGGCCTCCAGGTAACAGCCCAGGAGGAGAAAGCATAGTACTCAGAGATAATGCTGCTGCAATTTGGGCACAGGAGAACTGATGGTAGGGACACATATATGCAGGAAGTCAAGGAGGATGGTGGGCACTGTAGATTAGGACAACCTCTTCGTTCATGACATGACCATGTACCAAACACATGGAGAATCAGATGATCCCAGGAACCTCTGAAGATCACAGAGCTACTTTTAAGTAAGCACAATTGAAGATGACAATGAAGCTGCCTTGAGATAGCTCTACAAATGTGTGATGGAGTTTGCAACAAATATCCTGACAGACAGAGCTAAAGTAAATGCAGAGATGGGACCTCCCCAACTAGGAAGAAACATTGCCTAAGAGCATAATACCTTTTATTTCATTTTACTACTCATCTTTATTTCTGTTAACATTTTTAACTTAAATTTTATTTTAAAGTATCTTACAAAGTAATAGGTTTCCACAGGCTTTTCCTTTTTGAATATTTTAAATTTATTCTTTGACAGTTTCACACATGCTTGCAAAATATCTCTATCAGAGCCAACTCAAATCCTCCCTTACACCCAAGACCCTTCCAGTACTTGCTCCTCCCACCTTTATCTCCTCCTTTTCTTATTTTGTAAGTCATCAAGTTTGATTAGTGCTACTTACATATGTGTGGGTGTGGGGCCATCCCCCTGAACACGGGCAACCTATGGACATATGGCAACCTTTAGGACCACACCAAAACAAGATGAGTCCCCATTAATTGCAAATAGCTCCTCAGCTATTATTGGAGCTTCATGGACCTCCATGCAATGCTGGGATGCTAACTGGCTTGATCTTGTTCAGGTCTTGTGCAGGTAACCGTGGCTGCCATGAGTCCC